CTTTGGATTGTGGTGCTGGAGGAGGCTCTTGAGAGTCCCCTGGACTGCAAGGAGAACAAACCTATCCATTCTGAAGGAAATCAACCTTGAGTGCTCACTGGAAGGACAGATCCTGAAGCTGAGGCTCCAGTACTTTGGCCATCTCATGAGAAGACTCCTTGGAAAGACCTCGATTTTGGGAAAGTGTGAAGGCAAGAGAAGGGGACGACAGAGGATGAGATGGTTGGACAGTGTCATCGAAGCAACCAACATTAATTTGACACAGCTCCGGGAGGCAGTGGAAGATAGGAGGGCCTGGCGTGCTCTGGACCATGGGGTCACCAAGAGTCGGACATGACTAAACGACAACGACGAATAGTTTACTCTTTGCATTTTCTTTAATATAATTTTCTATATCTTCTTTCAATGAATTGTTACCTTTATATAAGTTTCAGTAAAATTCTTGTAATATCATTAATTTTTCCTTCATTAGGCTAGAATTCTTTCCTGTTTTATCTCTGATCACTCCAATTGTGTTTTTTTAGTCTTTGAGCTACTCTAGCTAGAAGCTTTGAGTTTTTATTACGGTACTTGAAAAAAATCCTCAAGTATACAAATTCCTCTGAACCTTTTCTAACTCTATGTTTTTTCTCCTTTTAGCTTGAATCTCTAATAATTTCTTATTATCTCTATCTATAAAATATTTACTTTCTAAATTTTTAATGATATATATATATTTTCTTCTCTTAAGTTTTTTATTCTGCATGATTTTCTTATGCCAATTTCATAGTATCCCATAACACTCCTATTTTAATCACGCCTGCTTCGTTTATTAACCATAATTCTATCCATTCTTTCTTAGCTCTATCCATTACATCTGAATAATGATGTATACATCTGTATACATCTGTAAATTTTGGAATCTATTCTCCATCTTCTAGCTTCGCTATAATGTTTCTTCAATGTATGATCCATTAATTTTATTACATTATTTGTATATACTACTTTAGAAATTAAATTTTGAGATATAAACATAAAAACTATTCTTGGATAACTATTATGTACAGAGGAGTAATACATCAATCTTCTTTCATCTCCCTTCAATTTTCTCCATATATCTTTTAAATCTGTAGTTTTCAATATCTTACTCAATACGATACTTCTTTTATTCAGCTCATCTTTTTTACCTAGTTTTATCCTTTACCATTATCTAAAACCATATTAAAATCTCCTGCCATAATAACGTATCCCTTTCTAACCTTCTCCATCTCTTTAACAACAATTTTATAAAATTCTCCTTGATTCACATTCAGTGCATAAACATTTACTAACATATAATATTCTTCTTCTATTCATCCCTGTACTATCAAATATATGTCATTACTATCTTTTACTACTTCTGTTACCAAAAATTCACAGTGTTTAGAAATCAATATCACTACACCTTTGGATTTGGTAGTCCCAAATCCTTTTTCATAAATGCGTATACAGTGGTGCCCCGCATAGCGACGTTAATCCGTTCCAGGATTAATGTCGCTATGTGGAAACATCGCTCAACGGAACAAAAAAACCCATAAAAACGCATTAAACCCTGTTTAATGCGTTCCTATCGGGCAAAAACTCACCGTTCAGCGAGGATCCTCCATAGGGACGGCCATTTTCGCCGCCTCGGTAAGCGAGGAATCCCTCCAGAAAAGAACTGGAGCTATCTTCCCCGCTCCATCCCCTCCCCCTTCCCGCCTTACAGCTGACGGGCGGGAGCTGCTGCTGCTCTTAGAAGCTCACCTAGCAGCAAAATAGGCAGTGTAAATGGACTGCCGAAGCCTCTGAAAGTG